GGCATTCCTCATCAACCTTAAAACTTCAGGACTCTCTTAACAGTCCTGCTTGCAGGACGTCAGTCAGTTTGACCCAAACCGAGTCCTCTTTACGCAGAAGAGGGTGGCTTTAGCTTTTGGCATGGGACAATGTCTTATCTGAGTATAGAAAGGCTCATGCAACTTGACTTAGGCTCCATATATCTCTCTAATGTAACTTCCTCTGAGCAGTTGCTGCAGATCATGTGTGGTTAAAGTGCATGTGGCTGAGCTGGTACCAGCAGTGATGTCTGCTGGTACATCACTGCTCTGTAACATGGAAAGGTGAGAGGATGAGTTCAAAACGATAAAACCTGTAGTCAATCTTAGGCCTTCAGCTGAATCTCTTCAAAACTCTTCCAGTTCAATTACCTCTTCTTCCCCTTCTTTAATATTTCTCCCCAAAGATTCCCACTTCTCCAGAGTCAGTGATTTCTTGGTTCTCTTAATGAATCTGGTATCCCAGTAGGATCTTGAGATACCCTCATTTCCCAGAAGAGATGGCATCCCTTAATCTTCCTCAAACTTCTATGGTGAAAATCCACTTACATGAATAGTGATTCCCTTGACATGCAGTGTATTTTGCCACAGCTGTGACACCTTTCATGGATTGGTTCAGGATGCTTTTATTTTTCAGACCTGTTCATTAGAAGAAACTCTACATGGATTTCAGCTCCAGCTGGAGCACTGACTACTGTGTGCATGGATCACATTGTCCACACAGAGCAATTAGACCTTGACTTCATACCCAACCCCAGTACCATGGCTCTTCCCTGACTAGCTCTGGATCATTTTTCCACTTTCCCTCCACTGTTTCTGTCTGTTTGCACAGTGAGCGCTGTGTGGCTGGGATTATCTCTCACATCACTTGTGTAGCATGGGATCAAAATCTCAGAAGTAGCCTGTAGGTTTTTCTGTAGTGCAAAATAACTCACCTCAACTTAATGCTGCACTAAATACAGAATATGGTGGGTGAACTTGGCATTGTATAGTGGGTCTGTTTCAGTGCTGACAACTTTGGAATTGTCCAACAGGTCAGTGTCCACTTCAGCGAATGTGTCCAGAAGGCCAGGGAGGCACAGAGGCACGGACAAGAAGCGGTTGCACATCAGGGAACACAGGATCTTTGGGTGTCAGGCTGAAGACAGTCTTCAGGGTGATCCCTCACTGGGCTGCAGAAAGGCTGATGAGGCAGGGCTGGGGACCTTCATGTGGGCATACCTCAACCGCCTCCCTGATTTGTCTCTACCATCTCACCGGAAAGATGTCTTGCCTTTTGCCTGATGTGCATCAGTTGTTTGTTTGAATTAAAAACCTGGCCAGTGACCCAGTTATGCTTATTTGTACCTTAATTAGGGAGCTCCAGAGAGGAACTCCTTGTTTGGGAAGGACATTCCTCAGGAAGAACTACTGAGCAAAGAACTGTATTTAAACTGTCTCAGTTTGAGCTAAACTGCTGAGAGGTTTGTGAAGTTACTGACAGAAACATTCTTCACAGCTGTCAGCCCTTATCCATACTCTAGAAGGACCATTAATATGGCTAAAATGGAGTATCTGTCACACTTGTGCTAACATGCAGTGTACTTCCCATAAACAGTATTTAAAAGGGCTTTCATCCAGATTATTTAGCCTTTGCTTCAGAGGATGGTAAAACTTTACTACATTTGATATTTGTCACTGTTACAAGATTTTTTTTCCAAAAGTTCTGTAACATGCATTCATAATGAGAAAGCAACATGCATTTTCTTGTGACTCAGTGTCAGGATGAAGTAAAGGAATGGTAAAATAATGAAAGCTGGGAAGATAAACAAGTATCACATTTTAATTACAAAACTAATAAAATGAGATTGGCATAACTCAAAACCTCTTGCTGTCACACTGAAAAGCAATGTGAAAATATGGATAGAAAATATTCAGGAGAAATGAAGTGTTTCTTCAAGGAGATGTTTTATAAACATTTGATTTATTAAGTTTAACCTGCTTAACTGAACACTGTATTCCTCTGAAACTGCATATTGGTGAAAAATTGTCTGCAGAGCATCTACGCATCCACCCTAGTCATAATGATTTTATAAACCCAGCTGATTTTATCAGTTTTTAGCTGATGACTTTTCCAATCCTACAGTCAGGTTTCTCTACTCCGTTTTATAATATTATGGCTCATTTCTGAGTCTCACAGAAATTGCAGTTTACTTTGCCTCCTTTTAATTTCTCTTATGACCTTCAAGGTAGATTAAAGATTTATATTTTTGTGTTTCCAAATTGCCAGAACTATTTTCATCTTGGAATCTGCTCCAGCTTCTGATTAAGATTGTTTCTTGACATTTAGATTTGAATTTTTATGTTATGACACTTCTTTATTTTTTGCTGATTGACTCTAGCTTATATTTATTTCTCTGGTATTCTTTTTTGGCAGTAATTTACAAAACTTCTAGGTGTACTATTCCTGCAAAAGTGGTGAAGGTTGTATTAAACATGTTGCTAGCACTGAAACAGATAAAGATTACATGGCCCAAAGTCCTGAAGGTGGAAAGTTCCTCCTGTGGAACCTAGGCCTGAAATAATTAATCTAGACACTAAAGGTGAAATTGCAAAGCTTGGAAGAAAAGTGACTTAATTCTAGAATTATGTTTTCAGAACACCTCTTGGTCTTTGGCTGGAATAGATGCAGTCTGTGGAAAAAAAAAAGGTTCCTTTTTATAGTTTTAAAGAGATGTTTTTTGGGTGTTCTAGCTTAATAGAAACCTATTCCAAAGCATTCTGAAGTGGCATAACCATGCAAGATGTGCGATGAGGGGCTCAGATGGGAGTCACTTCTTGGCACATATTTTCCTGTCTCTTCATGGATTTTCCTCATTCTGACTTACTTTATGAGAACAGGAGAAGGATCTCAGCTGTGTGAGGTGTAAAAGAAGCTTATTCCAGGTGTAAGTCTTTCATTTTCAAAACATACCAACTCTGATTCCCTCTGTTTTACACCTTATGCTGTCACATACACAATGAATGAAGGGATGCAAAATGTTTCCCTTAGCCCAGTCCAAGTTCTAATTTCAGACAAAATGGTACAAAAATCAATGCTGTTTCACAATGGAGTTCAGGTAGAGTTTCAGTAAGCAGAGACAGATGATGGGAGAATTGAAGTACGTGAACTGGCATTTTCAAAGAAATCTAATTTTTTCTAAAACCCAATATTAAGTTGTGTGCCTACCTGGTGATTGTTTATTAAAACACAGTTATATTGTAATTATACTGTTACCCTGCATATTCCCAGATGATGTTATTTTAAAAACTGATTAAGAAAAAGACTCAACTGAAGAACATGTGTTTAGCAGCTTTTTCCAGCTGGCAGGCAAACTCGGCTCTTAAGTTCAGTGACATACCTGCTGATGTCTTGATTTCTGAATACATGTTACAAGGTCATCTTTTTTTCATTCTTTCACGGATTTCTCAGGCTTCCCAAATGTTATTTAGATGTTTAAATTCCCTTACTAGGTTTGCTTTGACCTTGGGACACACAAATGTGAATTCAAAAAGTAATGGATATATAGAGAAAAAATAACATTTAAATTTTTTGTTTTGCTTTAAAAGGAACAGATGTTCTAAATATTTTGAAAACCCAAACCCTTCTGCTGTTCTCTTCTTGCTGCACTGGCAATTAAAATCTTCTTTACTCTGAAACAATATGAATTACCAGAGAAGTAGTAAAACAGTCTTGTAAAAACTGACTAAAAGGTTAAGCAGTTGAGAGAAGAGATTTTTAGCATGCTCAAAACAACCCATTTTGCAGTACATTACCCCAAACATTCTGGTGGCAACAAAGCAGTCACCCTAAGAAGGAAGGTGACTTCCAGGTCACACCAGCCTATTGAAATGCTTTGATACAGTTGGAGGAAATGCCACATTTTCATGAAGCATTAGGAAGGGAACTAGAAACACTTTTGACTAATGGTGAATGTAGGAGAGGAATTTGCTGTTTTTCTGAAGGTACTGGTTGTTAAGAAATACGTGCTGTGTCTTAGAGGGAAAAAGTGTTAGAGGAAGAAGTGTGCTTGTCACTCATGGTGACAGACAGCTGTGAAGATGCATTATCACACAGCGATATCAGTCCAGCTCTAGCTAGACAAGCCAGGTTGGGCACCAGAAACAGCCTCAAAACTTCGCGTTGTTTTGTCTTTGCTGAAATAGTGTCTCAAGTTAGCTAATGTGAGTTAACTAATTAAGCAACTCTTGCTGGTGTCTCACAGAACCTATTTCCCAGGATATGTATTAACAGCTTCACAGACTTTTAATATGGCAGCTAGGTCTGTAATTCCCACCCAGTTTGGCTCCACTAGTGATATGGGATGCAGTGTCATTGTTTGTGTAATTCCTCTCTTCTTTAGTCTGAGTGGGGCTCTATTGTGATTAAAAAAATAATCCTCAACTATTCATTAAAAAAATCTGAAAGAAAATAGCTTTAATAGATTGCAATCAATTTATACGGAAACCTCAAATGTCCAGGAAATGCTTTTGCTAAGCCCTAACTGTGTAACCAAAGTCTTTTTCCAGGCATCTACAGCTCAGTGAACCATAATTTATTAGTCTTCAAGACTTCAGAGTACTTCAATCTCCATTTATCAAATGAAGGGATGGATGCACAAGAGCAATAAAAGCAGCAATAGGCATTTCACATATGAAACTTCTAACAATGACAGCTAATTAATTATAGCTCATATAAGCCGCAAAGTAAAACTGACTTAAGCTTTTGTATCACACCATCACACTTTTCTACAAAATAATTTTGCCCCACACTAGTAATGAGTGTGAGATCTTCAGCTAGATGGGTCTTCAGGTTGGGTCCTCAACATCTTTATCCGTTTTTCCAGCCTCTCCATCCATTCATTTCTGAGCCTAAGGACAGAAACACGGATCAGCTTGTCCCCATATTTTTACAGGCAACATATTTATACTCTTCATATTTCCCACCAGTGCTATCCTTTGGTGCTTTTTCCCAGTTGTCATGCAAACTGTCCTGCCCCTTTAGAGGGCTTTGTCGGATGGCAATTTGGGACTAGCTCTTAAATCTCGATGTGGGATGACCTGAGATGGTTCATCTTCATCTCCAGTGTGCCCTGTGCCCAGTGCCTCCGTGTGCCAGTGACTGCCACCTCCACTGGAGATGGCCTGCTGCCACCTGCTGGGTAGCATCACCCATCATTTCCCCAGCCCCCCTCCTCCAGAGAAATCCATTGGAAAGGGTACGGCATAGAGGCTCCTGAGCACTGTTGGGTTTGGAATCACAATGCGTGCTGAAACTTCTCTCAGACCCATAGCAGACTGCTTTAGGGGATGGGTAGTAGTATCTAGGTCCCACAGAAAAACTGCCTCAAATAGAAAAGGCAGGAATTTCACAGCCGAGGAGTTGAGATGTTGAAATTAGGTTAGCTACAAATGAATAAAACATGCCGGAGATGAATTTCAATGTTCTTTCATACAGGGTTATTAATGCAAGTGCATCCTTGCCCTTATTTTTTCAAGCACCAATCCAAAGAGGGTTATAAGGGAGATTTTTAAAAAATGCTTTCTTATTGAATGATCTCCAGCCAAAATAGCCATCTTTGGGTGTGCCTTCAACTGAAGGAGACTTCATGTGAAGTAAAATTGTACTGATGTTGCCATAGACTGGTCTTTCTCATTGTGGTTGATAATTGAAATATGACTGGTTGAGGTATGACTATGGATGGTGGTTGCCTTGGTCAGTACACCTGACCGTCTGCTTTATTATGGATTTACATTGTGCAAATTAGGCCATCCTAATGAATTCAAACTATATTATTTTGTGCCACAGAGGAAGAAGGTGGGCGAGCTATACATCTGTACTTGCTCTGCTGTGAACATAAGCCTTGATGTTTAAGACAAGACTGTGATGTTAGATGTTATCATCCTGATAACTTCAGGAAGTTCCACCTTTAACAGATTCTAGGAGTAACTTCAGGAAGTTCCATCTTTGGACCCATTTACAGAACAAGAGTGAATTATTCTTTTATCCCATGAAGCCATAACTTAGACACGTTAACATTAGCATATCAATTTTGGAAGTTTTATTACTGTCTAAAAATTTAAGAAAAAATATTTTCAGCTTTCATTGCAACTAAACATAGGTATCACTTTGCTTTAAAAACAATTACAATGCAAACTCAAATAACCGGAAAGGTTATGGAAAGGTCTGGAAAAGATGCAAACTACCCACCTTGTCAGAGCACTTCTTCGTTGACGTTCTTTTTCAATTTGCAGATAACGCGTTTGCTGTTCAATAGTCTTTTCCCAGAAGTTCCTCAGGTCACTAGTTTCACATCCCCGCACCTCATGACGTATATATTGGCTGTTCATTTTATCTAAAGGAGAAATTTGAAGCAACCATAAGACAAGATACTGGTTCCTCATCTGTGTTCATTGCTAAAGCACAGACTCTCTGTTTTGGATTTTCACAGCAGTAGGGTCACACAGTCTTTTTTCTGTAGCATCAGAATAAGAGTGGGCATGACTCATTACTTAAGCTTTTCATTCCTAGCTCTGGCACTTGAGGATATGCTGTCTACAGTGATTTGAATTCCTACTTGTTCACCTCAAATATCTCTCACCTCCATCTGCCTGTGACATTTAAGCTCACAATGCAGGACAGTTCTGTTGTAATCTCTATCTTAATGATTAAGATGCCTTTTACTGTACTCACAAGTGGAAAGCAAATAGAAAAATTGCCTGATCTAGTGGGATTTTTCCTTGCTGTTTTTATGTCTATAAAATGATAAAGTGACCACTGTAGATTAAGATTAGAACAATGAAAAAAAAGAGCTATGGTGATTTGATGTTAGCCATTATAATGCTTACCTTTATTTGGGAATGAAGAAAATTCATATGTATAAGAGTATGTACATAATTTTATAAAATGCTGACTTGTAAAAGCTACCTTGATCATTAAATATTCCTCTCTCTCTTCCGCAATTTTCAAAACCGAACGAATTTGTTGACTATGTTTATATATCTGTGCCTCTTCTGTACCCCCTTCATTTAATGCCATCTCAAAAACAAATTTCAACATGAATCTTATCCTAGTAGAAGAGTATCTGTCTCAGGGTGACTCTTCATGGGCTGTCAACCCACTGTATCCCACATTACAGACGAAAATTGTATCATTACTTTCAAAACTTCATTAAATATGGAATGAGTATATCCATGCTGTCTTCCAAATTACTGTGTGGTTTTGCATGAACATGCCATTACAATATTTTCCAGAACATTTAATTTTTTTAACAAGTATTTAGGGCTCTCTCATGCATTATTTGAATTCATGGCAATTATTTGTAATTTATTTTAATCAGAGCCATAGAGAGCTAGTAAACAAGCCCCTCAAGGCTAGCTTGGAAAAGCTTCAAGAAACTGCTGCCATTCCCCTGCCAGGCATTGTAAGAAATGGAAAACTGGGAACTGGTAATCTTTACATAATTCCATTTGAGGAAAAACTGTGAGACACATTATAAAGACACTATGAGCAGAGAACAAAAGCAGACCTTTTCAAGAGGTCCCTTTCTTGTTGGGATTTCCCTGTGATTCCCCTGTGGATCCCTGTAAAACCTCGATATATCAACTCACAGCCTCCAAAGCACAGTATTTGAGCCCGAGTTTTGCAGAAGGAATTTACTGAGCACTTCTTCAGCTTCTAAGTGAATTATATCTGCATGTATAAGTGGTGGCATCTGTCTGTAATGTGAATTGCAGGTAGAGCTGAACACCTTCAGCTGTGGTGGGGGATAGCAGATTTCAGGTCAAAAGTTCTCTTAATACGAGTATGTGTTTTAATAAAATATACATGTTCTATATATATCCATACATATATATCAATGCTAACTGAAATCTCTCTTCCCAGGTGGCAGTTACTACCCTTTTTAACTTTTTGGGTACCATGACTAATCTAGAAATGTATGAAAATGATACAATAACAGCTGTCTGGTTCAGACTAGTGGACTTTCCACTCCAGGAGTTAATTTCTGAGAACAACAATATTTCTGAAGAGCAAAAAGCAAAATTTCCAGATATTCCTGAGGCTCCAAAATAAACTGCCATGAAATAGTGTCTCCTGTGGTGTTTTTTGTTTTTTTTCTTTTTTTTAATCAGAATTGATCCCAAAGCGTAACAACTTCATCCTTCTGAATGATTATGAATGCCTGTTTAATATACTGTGGATGTGTCTTTTTTATATATATGAGGGGGAATATCTCTCCTGAATGAGGCAAAGTTTTGGAACTCATTGCCACAAGGTATAACTGAGCCTAAGTGTATGCTTTCAGAACATCCTTTATTGGTTTTAAACGTTCTGCCTCCTGGTTTGATTGCATATATTCTTGGTGCTGGCTTGAAGGTATTTTATAGATGCGTCTCTCCAACACCCCACCCTGCAGCAAAAAAATCCCAAGGAATATGTTTTAGGCCCAGTAAAAGAAAAATTCAAAATTACTTTTCATTGTCATTCACATTATATCTGATGCTCGCAGTATTCAGAACCCTGTTGAGACTGTGTACAGTACTACATATTACAGGCTTGGGTGGGGTTTTTTGGGGGGGCTTGGGTGGGAATTCGTGATTTTCTCTGTCTATTATCTGTCAAATTTTCTTTGTGTGTACTTGCTCAGGCACACTAAGAGCATTGTCCAAGGCTGTCCTTTCTTAACCTTATATTTTGTGTTAACACATGGATACCTTGGTGTTGAATTTTCTTTTACTCTGCCCTTAATCTTCCCCTTTATTTTCTTTCCTCCTAACACTGGAGGACAGTCAAATATGTATCAAACCCACTGAACTTAGAATTCCCGCATTGTTGTTTTTCTGATCCTCATACATCCTTGATAAACACCAATGTGTCAATGCACCAGTGTTTGCTTCTCTGAACTGTAGAATCATCCAACCTAAATTACCTTTTATTTCAAACCCTCTATTTGCACCCATTCACGCAGTGATTGTAGGAACTGCACAATAACTCTGCTAACATAAACCACCTGGTTTCCTTTGCCTTTATGCTTCATGTGCATAGCTGCTTGAATTCACCTCTGTCCTGCCATTCATTTGAAAACTGTTGCCATAAACCTTCACGGCTGTGTGTGCAATCAGGGATGCCAAACCCGGTCTGTAAGTATTTCACTTGCACGAAGATAAAGTTTCTGTGTTAAAATCTTCTCAGTCACAGAAACTCTTTATTTTCCCCTCCTTCAGCTTTCCTTTTTAATTTTGAGGACAATAACAGGACTTAAGCCTGTGCTGTAGCTTTGCACCAGCAGTTATCACCTGAGTGCGGTTTATTTTCATGCCTTGGAACTTCATTCAAAGTATTTAGCAAAAGGGACCTTGTTTAACCGGGAAAGAAAAGAATGGAAAATACTTCATAGAAGTAACCCGCACAAGTAATATTTATGTGTGATCCAAGAGGTGTGCAGGACTATACTGTTAAAGCAATAGGCAGTAACAGCACTTTTATAGACCTCCCAGTTAGGTCTGACTTAAACCAGCCTGCAACATCTAGGACTAAACGAAGCTTTATTTAAACCTCTAGTGACAATCCTTGAAGAAGACAATAACAAGAGCATCTTTCTGGTAATCTAACAAGAGCATCTTTCTGGTAATCATCTTTGACAGAGCCCTGGCTGCAATCTGGTGAAAAAATGCAGCTGCTCTCAAATGAAAGAAATAGCTGAATAAACTCTAGGCAGGCTGCATCTTGCACAAGATGAAGATCACTGCTTATTTTTAGATTTAATATTTTCAGAGCAGCTTGATATTATTTAGACTCAATTTACTAAAGGAGATCTTAAAAAGGTAGCAAAGCTGTGACACTAGCACTGTTATCTGGAACTCAAAAATTATGTTGGTAAAACAAAAGATTAAGCTAAGATCAATTTGATGTGACGTCTTGACTTTTGTGTAAGTAAAAATATCAACAGTTTGAGGCTGGAACTCACTGGTGCTGTGAGAAAACATCACTAGCACAAGAAACAGAGAATTCATGGAGAGAATTGGAAGTCACAAGTTTCTTAGCTAGAAAATGGTGTGACAAGAAAAGTGTAGTTTTTTTCCTGTAATGGAACAAAAATTATTATTTTAAATGGTTTTAAAAATTGACAAAGCATCTACACTAGTCAGCAAAGCTATTTCCCTCCCCCTTCCCCCTCCTTCTTGTGCTACTTCTGTAGCGCAATTTGTCAGAATTTTCAGGATGTTATGCATCTTCCTAGAAATTATACAAAAATGTGTTTTTCTGCCTTTTCATGCACCTTGCTCGGTGACCGTGCTTATTATATAAATTCATTAGATTAATAAAAATTGCACAGTGTATAGGAGAGTAGACCATCCATGCTAACGCTGATGCTTGACTTTAAAACAATAAGAAATCTGCTTTGATTTTAGAAAATGGGACTAGTAATCGCAGACATGATTTCCCTCTATTTCCTTGGATCTTGGATACGTCATTTATCTTCTGCTTCTGCAGCTGGCAGCAATTCACATCTCAAAGGGCTGATTGAGGTTTGCTTTGAGATCCTGTCTGGGGAAGCATACCAATTTCAAGTCTAACTTAGGTCTACAGAACTTGGGTAAAACTCTTTGGGGGCAGAAGAAAGCACTTTAGTTTGATCCCCTGTACCCTTCTGTTGGTGTGGCAGGCTACATAGTGCAGCCTATCTCATGAACAGCCTGAGCCTCGGTGCTGCTCATGAAAGACACGGAAAGAGGTTTCTCACACCTCCTTCTGCCTCGCTGGTCCCCAGTTTCAGAGCTGCACCTCTAGGAGCTGACCTGGAGTACCAGCCTGGGGATGGGGCAAGGCTAGTATGGTTTTCTGGTGCATGCAGGTGCCTAACAGTGTTCTGGTCCTCTTCAAAATTCATTAATATATCTCATCAGCAAAGATGTGTGGCTTTGCGTGTATACTGTACTGTTCTCTTTTCATTTGTACTTTGGCATTAACGGCTATCAGTCTGTAATTTTCTAAACAGTATTGTCTAGAGTTTGCAGTTAAATAAGGGAATTTTAGACAAGAAGTTATTTCTGCCAGCAGTATTCCTTAGTTTGGCAGAATTTGAAGTATGTGGGACGTGTGCTCAGTCAGGGGGTCCTTCTCTTCATATAAACTCCAATCAAATTAATTGAATTTTTCCATGCAATGGGTATTTTCTGTTTATCGAAATGACAACCATACAGACAGGTGACTGAGGAAGACTAGCAGGAGTTACCTGTGTCCATGAGTTGTAAGCATGCATTTAGCAAATCAATTCTGACATGTAAGTTAAGCAATTTTAACATGCAAGTTAAAAAGTTTGCGCTCAGGCACTATGCACCAGTTTCTG